GACTGGAACGCCAGCTCATGACTTCGCTACCAAGAGTGAAGCAGTACCCTTGGGAGGAGCGTCTGTCAGTCTGGTTATCGGCCCATGAGGAGTCTGTGTACCCCTCGAGCTTGACTGAGAGTGAGGATGTGGGACCTGGTGGCTTGGGATAGCGGAGGACCCTCTTGGATGCAGACCAATGCGAGGCAGTGTAGCGTCCGGGGGAGATGTACCGAGAGAGGACACTAACCGGGTAAGCCAAGTCTGGTCGAGTGCACATCATGGCATACATGAGTGAACCAACTAGCTCAGGGTACGCGTCCTTGCAGGTGTCAGGAGAAGGAATCGGAGGGGCCATGAGCTGATGCTGTAGTGGGAGTGGAGTCGAGACAGTCCATGTCGAACCGATTGAGAAGGTTGTCGATGTAGGACTCCTGGGAGAGGGTGATCGTGCAAGCGTGGCGGTCACGACAGATCTCCATCCCCAGGTAGTTCTTAAGGTTACAAAGATCCTTCATGAGAAGGGCGGAGCTGAGAGTAGACTGGACAGCTGCCATCTCGGCTGGATCTATGGCGAGTAGAATGAAATCGGCGACATAGACGAGGATGTAGAATGGCTTGGAGGAGTGACAAACGAAGAGACTGAAATGGAAGTCAACTTCGAGGAGGACTTCCTGTTAGAAACAGAAAGGTTCAGTTTATTGATGAAGCAAAGGCATTACATAGGAAGAGAGGGATGAGCTAGGAAGGGAAGGTTGGAAGGGAAAGGGGGGTTAGGACCAATCACAAGGGAGGGAGGATCCTTCCAAATGTGGTTGACCACCAGTTGGAGGTGGTCCAAGTGTAGTGTACCACCAGTGGTTTAGCCAACCCACTTGTGGTTCCCCCACAATTGTGGTCCTTGTGTTTGGGGGCTCCAACCACAATTGGGTTGGATTGACACCCCAACACAGGTGTACACCCAACTAGGGATGTAAACACAATATACACAACTAGCATAGCATGGTATATTCTAACACAACCCCATAGCATGCAAAGCTAGTGTATATGTAGGGTACAACCCCAGAATCAGGAAGGGGGGCGGGGCCCAAGGCCGAGAAGGCGGAGGAGGGCAGAGTGCGCGGTCTTCGGGAGGGCCTTGGTGAAGATGTCGGCCAAGTTGGCCTCTGCAGCGATCTTGCGGACCACCAAGTGACCTTGCTGGACCAACTCTCGAACGAAGAAGTAGCGGAGTTCAATGTGCTTGGAGCGGCCATGGAAGACAGGGTCCTTTGTGAGATGGATGGTGCTGGCGTTGTCGCACCAGAGGGTGGGACAGCGCTGAGGAGCACCAATCTCAGCAAGGAGGAAGGTGAGCCAGCGAGCCTCCTGAGCGGCCATGGTGCAAGCATAGAGCTCAGCCTCGCAGGATGAGAGGGCGATGGAGGAGGAGCGAGTGGAGCGCCAGCTGATGAGGCCACTGCCAAGGGTGAAGCCGTAGCCTTGAGAGGAACGGCGATCCGGCTGGGAGTCAGCCCAGGAGGAGTCACTGAAGCCAGAGAGGAGGGGAGGAGAAGAGTCTCCGAGGGTGAGGACATAGTCCTTGGTACCACGGAGGTAGCGGAGGACCCGCTTCGCTGCAGCCCAGTGCTCATCAGTGTGGCGACCGGTACCGACGAATCGAGCAAGAACACTGATGGGGTAGGCAAGGTCGGGGCGGGTGCACATCATAGCGTACATCAGCGAGCCGACGAGCTCAGCGTAAGGATGGTCAGAGGAGGAGGGAGCAGGAGGAGGGGCAAGCTGGTGGTGGTCGGTCTGCAGGGGAGTGGTAACCGGCTTGGCCTGCGCCATGTCAAACCGCTGCAAGACTTGGTCGATGTAGAAGGACTGAGAGAGGGTAATGGTGCGCGATGTGCGGTCCCGGGTGATGGTCATGCCCAGATAGTGCTTGAGCTCACCCAGGTCCTTGCACTTGAGGCGCGCATGCAGGGCGTCCTTCACTTGCTGCATGGCGGCAGCATCGTCAGCGAACAGGATCATGTCGTCGACATACACCAGGATGAAGAAGCGGGTGGGAGAGGAGCGAAGGAAAAGGCTGGCATCAGACTGAGAGGCATGGAACCCCAAGGACTGCAGAGTGGCGGCCAGCTTGTTGTGCCACTCGCGAGGAGCCTGCTTGAGGCCATAAACCGGGCGGCGCAGCTCCCAGATTGTGTTGGCAGGGAAGGCTGCATGAAAGCCTGGAGGCCGCCGCAAGAGGACCCGCTCCTGGAGCTCGCCTTGCAGGAAGGCGTTGGAGACATCCATGGAGGCAATCTCCATGCCAATGCGAACAGCATAGTCGAGGATGGCACGGAGAGTTGGAGCTTGGCAGTGGGAGAGAATGTCTCCCAGTAGTCGATGCCATGGGTTTGGGTGAAGCCCTTGGCACAATACCGGGCCTTGTAGACCGGCTCCTCACCCGGCAGCTGCTTCACTCGGAACACCTACAGGCCTTCAACAATGACGTCGTCAGGAGAGGGGACAATGTTAACGAATGAGGCATTGCGGATGAAGGCCTCGCATTCAGCAAAGATAGCCTGGATCCACTTGGCAGCATCGGGGCAGGTGATGGCCTCAAGGAAGTTGGACAGAGTGAATCTGGTGGGAGCGGTAGCGATGCCAAGGATGAGGAGGCCAAGGAAGCCCGGGTAGAGAGGCGTGAGGGAAGGTGTTTGTTGCTGAACGCCAATGAGCTCCTCATGGGAGTCCTCAATGAAGGGAAGGGAGGGTGGGGGTGGTGTTGGCCAACCCCATGGATGGCCTATGAGTGGGCCGTGAGAGCGAGTGTGGATGCGTGGGAGGATGAATGGAGAGGTGGTGCGGCGATGCCGATGAGATTGCTGCAGTGGCTGCTGCTGCTGCTGTGGCTGCTGCTGCTGCTGCTGCTGCACCTCCTGCTGCGGCTGCTGTTGCTGCTGCTGCTGCTGCTGCTGCTCCATCCGCTGCTGCACCTCCTGCTGCTGCTGCTGCTGCTGCTGCTGCTGCTGCTGCTGCTGCTCCATCCGCTGCTGCTGCTGCACCTGCTGCTGCTGCTGCTGCTGCTGCTGCTGCTGCTGCTGCTGCTGCTGGTGCTGGTGCGATGAGGCAGAGTGAGCAGGGGAGTCAGGGACAGCTGGGTCGTAAATGTCACCTGAGGAAGGAGGAGGGGGAGGAGCAGGATTTGGAGGAAGGAGGGGAGCCTGGGGAAGGAGTGGGGGAATGACAGCATCAGCCCAGGTGAGGGGGCGGGAGGAAGGGGGTCGGAAGGCGGAACAGAATGATAGAACGGGATGCTCTCATCGAACACCACGTCACGGCTCTGTAGGAGGCGGCCTGAGGACGGGTGAAGGAAGAGGTAACCAGGGGCAGAGCGAGCGTGGCCAAGGTAGACACACTCAATGGCCTTGGAGGCGAGCTTTCCTGCCTGCCGAGAGCGGTCAGGTGGGGGGATGAGGACATATGCCTTGCAACCCCAGATACGGAGAATGGCAGCATCTGGCTTGGTGCTAGCCCAGAGCTCAGTGGGAGTGACAGACTGGCGTTGAGGATGTGGGTAAAGATTAGTAAGGAGAGCAGCATGGACAAGGGCATAGCCCCAAAGAGAAGGGGGCGTGGAGGCATGAGTGAGGAGGCAGCGGGCCGTCTTGGTGATCTCACGAATGCGACTCTCAGCAACACCGTTCTGCTGAGGGGAGTGGGGAAGGGTATGAGTCTGCTGGATGCCATGGGTTGAGCAGTAGGAGGAGAGGGTGCGGTTGAGAAACTCACCACCGCCGTCGGAATGGAGGCGGCGGATGGGGCGACCAAAGTGGACTCGGCACTGCTCGGCCCAGGTAACGATGACAGCAGGGGCCTCGGCCTTCGTGTGGAGGAGGAACACCGAGGAGTACCTGCTGTGGTCGTCGACGAGGACAAGCATGTACCGGTGCCCTTGGCGGGAAGGGGAAGGGTTAGGGCCCCAGAGGTCCATGTGGACGAGGTCAAGGGGGGCAGCAGCAAAGGAAGGATGACTGAGGTGAGGCTGTTGTTTGAGCTTTCCATGAATGCATGTGGCGCATGGGGGAGCGGAAGAGGACGGGAGGGGAGGAAGAGTGGGGGGAAGACCGTCAAGCAAGCGGGAGGAGACGGCTTTACGAAGTGTGGGAAAGTTCATATGACCAAGGCGGTGGTGGATGAGAACAGCGGGGTGGGACAGTGCGCGACAAGAGCATGGGGAGGAGGTGGAGTTGGAGGAAGGTGGCTCTAGAGGGAGGGGAGGGGGGAGAGTGGAGGTGCCTGCACGAGTGGTCACGTGGCATGAGGAGGGGCGCGGTGTGCGGAGGATGTACTGACGAGAGCGAGGGCAAAGTGGGAGGCGATGAAGGAGGCGGCGAGTGGGGCCGTGGAGGAGGTCACAGTAGGTGGCAGAGGCGGGGAAGAGGGTAGTGATGCCAGCCTGTTGGAGTTCACGAATGGAGAGCAGGTTATGACGAAGGGAGGGAATGTGGAGACCAGTGACCACTCCAGAGGGGAAGGGGGGGCAGGGGAGGGTGGAGAGATGAGTGCAAGGGATGGAGAAGCTGGAATCAGCACCATGCACGTTGGTGGGGAAAGGGAGGGAGGTGAGGGTGCCGGCGTCTTTGAGGGCAGTTTCAGTGGCACCACTATCGAGAACAAAGTCAATCGTGAGCGAGGAGGGAGCTGGAGACACGGGGTACTGGAAATCACTGGCATTAAAAACAGAGGGATACATGGAAGTGGAAGCAGGGGAAGAACGCATGAGCTCGCCTAGAAAGCTGGAGTGGGAGGCGGGAGCACTAGGGGAAGGAGAGCCCCAGAGGGGAAAGCCAGGAGGACCTGGTGTGGCTGTGGCAGCCATGGCGGCGGTGCCAAAGCCAAGCTGCTGCTGCTGCCATGCAGATGCTGCGGCTGCGGCTCCTGCAGCTGCGGCTGCAGCCTGACCACCAGAGCCCCACTGCTGCTGCTGCTGCAGCAGCTGCAGCTGCTGGAAGCGGCGAAACTGCTGCAGCTCCTGGGGAGTTATGGGGTCAGCGACAGAGGAGGAGGAGGAGGAGGAGAGCTGAAGATGAGAGGGGAGGAAAGACGGAAGAGTTTTGACATCCTGGAGAGAGGGGCGGGGATCCATGGCAGACCAGCGTGGGGGTGTGCCAGTGTTGCCGCGCTCGAACCAGGCGTCATCATACGCCTTGAAGCAGGTCGCGGGGGGATGGTTGGTTTGGGTGCAGCGCTCACCCGCCCTGGGACCAAAACGGCGAAGATAGGAACATGGGGGGAGAGTGCCAGGGCGGCCACCACGGCTACCAGATGAGCCACTACTGCCTCCACCACCACCACTGCTGCCACCCTCGACCCCGCAACCACCGCCGCCGGCTCCGCTGCCCCCACAACCGCCACCTCCACCCCCTCCCTGAGGGTTGGTGCGGCCGCCACGTGGGCGCCCGCCACGACGCGGCTGTGTGACTGCAAGCTGGGGGTTTTGGGACTCGGTGGAGTTCAGGCCGAAGGGGGGGGTTGAGAGAAGGCGGGCCTCAGCGTCAATGATCCATTGGACCACAGTGTCAAGGGAGGCGCGGGGCTGAGCCTCAGTGAAGGCGATGACGCGCACTTCATATTGAGGGGAGAGGCCTTCGAGGAGACGGTAGATCTGAAGGTTGGGGGGGAGAGTAGTCTGGCGAGCCTCAAGGCGGGAGGCAAGGTCCAGGAGACGGCTGGTGTAGTCAACGGCGCCAGCACTATGTTTGATCGTGATGCTGAAGTATTCCTTGAAGAGCGGTCCGACAGCATCGAAGTCGGTGCGTTCGAACATTGCCTCAAGCTCGAGCCAGATCTGGCGGGAGCCGATGCGACGTGCCTGGAAGTTGCGCATGAGCGCAGACGGGATGGCAAGGAGAAGGGCACCAGTAGCACGGCTGTCCGCCTCGAGCCAGGCGCGACGACGCTCAGCAAATCGCGCACAGTCAGCGGCATAAGCGGCGGCGGTAGCGGCATGCTGGGTGCGGAGGGTTGCCGACCGCTCGTGTTCCTCCAATGCGATCAGGTAATCAGTATGGAGCACGAGGAACTCACGACGCAAAGTAAAGAAGAGCTGCTCAACTTCAGCGGTGGCAGCGCGAGTGCTGGTGCCAACGGGTACCATGGGGGGCGGAGGTTCCTCGCCGGGATGGGGAATAAGAGGGGGGGGATCGCCAGGGTGAGGCGGCGGGTCCCCAAGGTCACCCTCTGGGAGACCAAGCATGATGTCCAAGAGGCGGAACGGCAGGACATAAGCACTGCCGAGGACGCGGTGGAGGCTGCCGACGAAGGAATACCAGTTGGTTGCTAAGTTGTCGGCAGCGCGCACGAGATGATCGAGGGTCGAGACGTCGACGGGAGGGGGAAAGGATGCCATTGGTGACACGGAGTGGGAGGAAGGCGACGGCGGGTGGACCCGCGGTGGCTGGGAGGGAGCGGCGGCGGGTGGACCCGCGGCGGCTCAAAGAGGAGGGGAGGATGGGGATGGCTGTAGATACTGCTGCTGCTGCTGCTGCTGCTGCTGCTGCTGCTGCTGCTGCTGCTGCTGCTGCTGCTGCTGCTGCTGCTGCTGCTGCTGCTGCTGCTGCTGCTGCTGCTGCTGCTGTGGCTGCTGCTGCCGCTGCTGCTGCTGCCACTGCTGCTGCTGCCGCTGTTGCTGCTGCTGCTGCTGCTGCTCCTTCAGCTGCTGCTGCTGCTGCTGCTGCTGCTGCTGCTGCTGCTGCTGCTACTGCTGCTGCTGCTGCTGCTGAGTCTGCTGCTCCTTCTGGTGCTGCTGCTGCTTCTGCTGCTGCTGCTACGGCTGCAGCAGTGGTAAGGCGGCGATGAGCAGGTGCAGGTGAGGAGGCAAAAGATGGGGAAAGATGGCAGTTAGCTGATGAAAATAGGACTTGGTAGTAATTTCAGTAGCACTTCGTGATCACATCCAGGAAAGTGTGCAAACTTCGGAAAGCGATATCTGACAATCCAAGCAATGAAACAGTCCAAAATTTTACGACGTTGTAGCTGACACCAAGGGCGTTCTTTTGCAAGTCGAATCACTCAATTCTGTCAACTAGCAAGAGAGCTATGGCGTTTGGCGCATTGGGGGTTTTTGAAAATCCACCCAACAGAAAACTACTTGAGAGGCGGCGGCTAGGAGTCTAGCAGCGGCAATGGAGGGGACGGCAATGAGGTGCACGTCGGACGGGGACGGGGCGGAAGCGTCGGGAAGGATCGGGATTTAAAAGTTGGCGTGAGCCATTATTGCTCTATACCATGTTAGAAACAGAAAGGTTCAGTTTATTGATGAAGCAAAGGCATTACATAGGAAGAGAGGGATGAGCTAGGAAGGGAAGGTTGGAAGGGAAAGGGGGGTTAGGACCAATCACAAGGGAGGGAGGATCCTTCCAAATGTGGTTGACCTCCAGTTGGAGGTGGTCCAAGTGTGGTGTACCACCAGTGGTTTAGCCAACCCACTTGTGGTGCCCCCACAATTGTGGTCCTCTCTCAGTCCTTCTACATCGACCCAGATAGTGCTTGAGCTCACCCAGGTAGTGCTTGAGCTCACCCATCGCTTGAAGCATAGTTGAGGCATGCTATGCTAGTTGTGTATATTGTGTTTACATCCCTAGTTGGGTGTACACCTGTGTTGGGGTGTCAATCCAACCCAATTGTGGTTGGAGCCCCCAAACACAAGGACCACAATTGTGGGGGCACCACAAGTGGGTTGGCTAAACCACTGGTGGCACACCACACTTGGACCACCTCCAACTGGTGGTCCACCATATTTGGAAGGATCCTCCCTCCCTTGTGATTGGTCCTAACCCCCCTTTCCCTTCCAACCTTCCCTTCCTAGCTCATCCCTCTCTTCCTATGTAATGCCTTTGCTTCATCAATAAACTGAACATTTCTGTTTCTAACAATTCCCTCCGATTCCCCCTTCACCCATTCTCCCTTACCTTGCCATGTACTTATAGAGCCTTGAGCTCCTTACCGAATCAATCATTTCAGCTCTATTTTTTACATGGTATCAGAGCGACCTATCTGCACACGCGGATCAAGGTCCTAATCTTAACGTGCCCGCGCTACGCGCACCTCATTGTCGCGACATTCGTCTCGAGTCGTCGGAATTTTCAACGTGCTCCACTCTGCAGTCGCGCCTCTCATCGTCGACCGCCTTCGCGCTCGACCTCTTTGAATGTCTCATCTCTGAAGTTTTTACGCTTCTCATCGTCGATTTCCTTCTCGGTTTTCCTTGGTCGAATGTCAATTTCGAGTTTCCCTTCGGACCCCGCCAGAATAGGCAAACACCCCTCGCGAAATCGCCTCCACGAACGTCTCGCGTCAAGCAAGAGCAACTACACAGGTGGAAGCGGAGCGGAGCTCGTTGCGGAGCTGGTTGCTGAGCTGGTTGTGGAGCTGGTTGCGGAGCTGGTTGCGGAGCTGTGTAGCTGCGGGACAGGGCCTGGGGGTGTGTGGGGGGGTGTGTGGTTCCGGGGTTAGACATAGTCTCATATTCAGTTTGAAGTTGGCGCTTCAACAAATTTCCGCCGACGCCATTTTCATTTTAGCGGCATTTCGACGAAGCCATCAGAGTGATTTTCAGCAGTTCTCGTCGACCGATTTCCAGAAGTGCCGCGCTGCACACGTGAGTTAAGAGCGTCGCTTCGCGAAAATCAAGCGAGAATGGCTTACTCAACCACTTCACTCGCCAACCCGATCCCGCTCCTTCGTCTCGAGCCGGACGGTACATGCTCCAACTACAAGGCTTGGCGCTATGGTGTCGACAAGCACCTCCTCAGTCGCAAGGTGAAGGGGCTCGAGCTCACCAACGTTCTTCTCAACATTGGTGACGGCAAAGAGCCTCCTAAACCCGAGAGGTCTGCCGATCCAGCTAATGCCGCCGCCAAAGCAGTTTATACTGCTGCACTGCTCAAGTACAAGATTTGGGAGAAGGCCGATGGTGCGGTGATTAGTGTTTTCATGGGCACCACTCCTCCCGAACTCGTCAAAACCTACCACAACTACCCGTCTGCCAACGCCATTTGGCTCTACCTCGAAGACCGCTTCCTCAACAAGACTGCAGTAGGAGTTGCTATACTCATCCCCAGCATGTTCCAAGTGCGGCTCGAGGACTCGCCAGCCATGGCGGATGATGTCACCAAGGTGCAGTCCATTCATGGTGAACTCAAGCAGTTGGGGATAGTCTTCCCCGAGCAAGCCCCTGCAGCCGCTCTCCTAGTCGGCCTCACTCCGGCATACGAAGTCACACGCAAGATGCTCTTGGGCCTTGTTCCCGCGGACCTCACATTTGCCAAGGTCTCATCAGCACCCCCTTCTGCCAAAAAGGACAACAATGCTCAAGCCAATGCCAATGCAATCCGCGCTCCTGTGCCTCAGGCCTATGCCACTTCGGCACCTTTCTAGCGCAACCGCTTCCCCCCGTGTCCCTACGTCATCAAGCGCGGCCCTCGTGCCGGCCATGTGTGTGGCGGCACCAACCACGCCCTTGCCTATTGCTTCAAGAAGAAGGATGACGAGTGGTATGCCGTCAATGGGACCGCCTCGAAGCCGCCAAGATGGATGGTTAATCGTGCTCCTCGCCAAGTCAATCAAGTCGAAGCGCAGGAATCTGTGCAGGCTGCTGTAGCTCCCACTGCTGATGTGCACCTCAACATGTTGTTCATTGGCACTGCCAGGATCAGTGAGACAATTTCGCAGTGTCCGGGCTCACAAAACACCTCAGCCACAGTAGATTTCACTCTTGAAAGTAGGGTCAATCACACAGTTCTCAAGGAAGAACACTCCTTTAAGCCATACGAGACACCAATCCCTCTACTAGGAGCAGAATCCAATTTCACAACACACGCCTGGGGCTCCTTCACAGTTCCGAGCCCAGCTTTCCTTCGGGCAGTGTCACCGGCATGTGTGTTCCCACACTACGCCACAATCTCGTCGCCTAATACGAGCTCCAACAAGCAGGCGTCATCACGATCTTCCCAGCACCCTCAGATCACTGTGACCTCCTCGACCCTAAGTCCAACAAGCTCCTAGCATGCTTCACATTCAACAGCAGCAAGCTCTACACGCTGCGTTCATCTGCACCTCTCGCCGCCCTCTCCCAAGCGCAAGCTGCCAACACCACTCCGTGTTCCTGTCGCAGCTTCGCCAACCCAACTATTCTCTACCACCATCGCTTGGGTCACCTCAACTTCCATACGCTTGCCGACATTGCATCCAAGAAACTTCTTCTTGGCCTCCCCTCGGCGCTTCCTCCACCAACAGACTCACCTGCACCTACATGCCTGGACTGCACCAAGAGTATGCTTAGGTAGCAGCCGCACCCTTCCTCCCCATCTGTTGCAGCTGCTCCGCTGGACCTAGTGCACATGGATGTCTGGGGCCTAGCTCCAGTTGTTGGTTACAGAAGGCTATCAACAGATGATTCATTAGCTCCTTGGAAATTTCTGCAGCACTTCGTTATGACGCCCAGAAAACTCGCGACCTTCGAAAAGTTATATCCAAAACTCCAATCAGTGAAAAAATCTGAAAATCGGATATGTTGTAGCGTCTAGCGTCAGCTTTCAAATAAAAGTTGAATCACTCGATTCCGTAGCTGATCGAGTGAGCTATGGCGTTTGGCGCACTGGGGGGTAATCTGCTCTATCAGAAATTGACAGTTTTCAGAATCAGTATTATTGAAGCTTACAAGTTCAAAGGCATGATAGAAAAGGCATTGAAGCACAGTTGGAAGGTGGGGATGGAAGGGAAGGATGAAAGGGAAGGACCCTGCAGGCCCATGGTCAAGAACATGTCAAGAGTCAAATTCTTGACTCCCCATCTTCAAATTCAACCAGACTGGCAAGACAAAATTCACACTGTGCCAGGTTGGCCTCCAACCCCCAAATGCTGCAGCTGCAAGGTGAGGACAAAAGTCCCACACATGCTGGTCCCTCCTCGTTATAGGGCTCTCCAACTTTGGTGTAGCAACTGCCAAGGACTTCCAATGAGTTGTAACAAATCCATCAAACATTTCATCGGAACTTCTTCATATGTGCTCCGATTCCAACAATTCTTGGCTCGTTGGAATGTGCTCGATGTCATGGCATGCCTGGTTGATGTACGACAGGCCTGGTTGATGCATGGCATGCTTAATGGACGCAAGGCATGCCTGGTTGGTTGATGCATGGCATGCCAGGTTGGTTGATGCATTTTATGCTCCGTTGGATGATGCATGGCATGCCTAGTTGATGCATGGAATGCTTGGTTGATGCATGGGGTGCCTAGTTGATGCATTGCATACCTTGATGGTTTATGCATGGCACCTGACGTCATCATGGCATGGGTGCGCCAGGCTCAAGTCACGTTCGGCACTCCTCTGAAGTGCCTCCATTCTGATGGCGGGGGAGAATTTCGCAATGGCAAACTCGATAACTGCTGCGCGGCCCAACCGATTCGGCAAACCTTCACGCTCCCCGAAAGCCCGCAGCAGAACGGCATTGCAGAGAGCCGCAACCACACCTTGGTTCAAATTGCTCGCTGCCTCCTCAGTCACGCCAACGCACCACGGTCACTCTGCGGATATGCCCTCTTCCATGCGGCACTCCTCTACAATCATTATCCGCATCCCCACCGGCCCGACACCAGACCTACCACTCTCTGGCTTGGGGCCACGCCCTCCGCCCGCTCTCTACGCGTCTCGGGTGTACTGCGTATGTGTTGCTCAGCCCACACACACGCAGGAAGCAAGGTGGCAAGCTTGGTCCCAAAACCCAGACCAGGCTTGAGGCACGGAAGCGCAGATTGCATTGGCCTTGGCTTGAGCGCTGTTGTCATTTTCGGCAGAAAGGAGCGCAGATGAGACCTTGGCAAATGTGAGGTCCGCAGGAGCAAGGCCCAAGAGCATCTTGCGTGTGACTTCGTATGCCGGAGTGAGGCCGACTAGGAGAGCGGCTGCAGGGGCTTGCTCGGGGAAGACTATCCCCAACTGCTTGAGTTCACCATGAATGGACTGCACCTTGGTAACATAGTCCGCCATGCCTGGCGAGTTCTCGAGCCGCACTTGGAACATGCTGGGGATGAGTATAGCAACTCCCACTGCAGTCTTGTTGAGGAAGCGGTCTTCGAGGTGGAGCCAAATGGCGTTGGCAGACGGGTAGTTGTGGTACGTTTCGACGAGTTCGGGAGGAGTGGTGCCCATGAAAACACTAATCACCGCACCATCGGCCTTCTCTCAATTCATGTACTTGAGCAGTGCAGCAGTATAAACTGCTTTGGCGGCGCCATTAGCTGGATTGCCAGACCTCTTGGGTTTAGGAGGCTCTTTGCCGTCACCAATGTTGAGAAGAACGGCGGTGAGCTCGAGCCCCTTCACCTTGCGACTGAGGAGGTGCTTGTCGACACCATAGCGCCAAGCCTTGTAGTTGGAGCATGTACCGTCTGGCTCGAGACGAAGGAGCGGGATCGGGTTGGCGAGTGAAGTGGTTGAGTAAGCCATTCCCATCTGATTTTCGCGAGGCAACGCTCTTAAGTCACCGATCATTCATGGAAAGCTCAAACAACAGCCTCACCTCAGTCATCCTTCCTTTGCTGCTGCCCCCCTTGACCTCGTCCACATGGACCTCTGGGGCCCTAACCCTTCCCCTTCCCGCCAAGGGCACCGGTACATGCTTGTCCTCGTCGACGACCACAGCAGGTATTCCTCGGTGTTCCTCCTCCACACGAAGGCCGAGGCCCCTGCTGTCATCGTTACCTGGGCCGAGCAGTGCCGAGTCCACTTTGGTCGCCCCATCCACCGCCTCCATTCCGACGGCGGTGGTGAGTTTCTCAACCGCACCCTCTCCTCCTACTGCTCAACCCATGGCATCCAGCAGACTCATACCCTTCCCCACTCCCCTCAGCAGAACGGTGTTGCTGAGAGTCGCATTCGTGAGATCACCAAGACGGCCCGCTGCCTCCTCACTCATGCCTCCACGCCCCCTTCTCTTTGGGGCTATGCCCTTGTCCATGCTGCTCTCCTTACTAATCTTTACCCACATCCTCAACGCCAGTCTGTCACTCCCACTGAGCTCTGGGCTAGCACCAAGCCAGATGCTGCCATTCTCCGTATCTGGGGTTGCAAGGCATATGTCCTCATCCCCCCACCTGACCGCTCTCGGCAGGCAGGAAAGCTCGCCTCCAAGGCCATTGAGTGTGTCTACCTTGGCCATGCTCGCTCTGCCCCTGGTTACCTCTTCCTTCACCCGTCCTCAGGCCGCCTCCTACAGAGCCGTAACGTGGTGTTCGATGAGAGCATCCCGTTCTATCATTCTGTTCCGCCTTCCGACCCCCTTCCTCCTCTCTCCCGCCCCCTCACCTGGGCTGATGCTGTCATTCCCCCACTCCTTCCCCAGGCTCCCCTCCTTCCTCCAAATCCTGCTCCTCCCCCTCCTCCTTCCTCAGGTGACATTTACGACCCAGCTGTCCCTGACTCCCCTGCTCACTCTGCCTCATCGCACCAGCACCAGCAGCAGCAGCAGCAGCAGCAGCAGCAGCAGCAGCAGCAGCAGCAGCAGCAGCAGCAGCAGCAGGTGCAGCAGCAGCAGCGGATGGAGCAGCAGCAGCAGCAGCAGCAGCAGCAGCAGCAGCAGCAGGAGGTGCAGCAGCGGATGGAGCAGCAGCAGCAGCAGCAGCAGCAACAGCAGCCGCAGCAGGAGGTGCAGCAGCAGCAGCAGCAGCAGCCACAGCAGCAGCAGCAGCCACAGCAGCAGCAGCAGCAGCAGCAGCCACTGCAGCAACCTCATCGGCATCGCCGCACCACCTCTCCATTCATCCTCCCACGCATCCACACTCGCTCTCACGGCCCACTCATAGGCCATCCATGGGGTTGGCCAACACCACCCCCACCCTCCCTTCCCTTCATTGAGGACTCCCATGAGGAGCTCATTGGCGTTCAGCAACAAACACCTTCCCTCACGCCTCTCTACCCGGGCTTCCTTGGCCTCCTCATCCTTGGCATTGCTACCGCTCCCACCAGATTCACTCTGTCCAACTTCCTTGAGGCCATCACCTGCCCCGATGCTGCCAAGTGGATCCAGGCTATCTTTGCTGAATGCGAGGCCTTCATCCGCAATGCCTCATTCGTTAACATTGTCCCCTCTCCTGACGACGTCATTGTTGAAGGCCTGTGGGTGTTCCGAGTGAAGCAGCTGCCGGGTGAGGAGCCGGTCTACAAGGCCCGGTATTGTGCCAAGGGCTTCACCCAAACCCATGGCATCGACTACTGGGAGACATTCTCTCCCACTGCCAAGCTCCCAACTCTCCGTGCCATCCTCGACTATGCTGTTCGCATTGGCATGGAGATTGCCTCCATGGATGTCTCCAACGCCTTCCTGCAAGGCGAGCTCCAGGAGCGGGTCCTCTTGCGGCGGCCTCCAGGCTTTCATGCAGCCTTCCCTGCCAACACAGTCTGGGAGCTGCGCCGCCCAGTTTATGGCCTCAAGCAGGCTCCTCGCGAGTGGCACAACAAGCTGGCCGCCACTCTGCAGTGTTGCTTAGAGAAGGCTATAAGCAGATGATTCAATGGCTCCTTGGAAATTTCTGCAGCACTTCGTTATGACGCCCAGAAAACTCGGGACCTTCGAAAAGCTATATCCAAAACTCCAATCGATGAAACGATCTGAAAATCAGATATGTTGTAGGTTGCAGCGTCAGCTTTCCTCTGAAAGTTGATTCACTGGATTCCGTAGCTTAACGAGCGAGCTATGGCGTTTGGCGCACTGGGGGGTAATCTGCCCTAGGAGAAGTTGACAATCCTCAGAGTCACAATGATTGAAGCTTACAAGTTCAGAGGCATGATTGAAAAGGCATTGAAGCACAGTTGGAAGGTAGGGATGGAAGGGAAGGATGAAAGGGAAGGACCCTGCAGGCCCATGGTCAAGAACATGACAAGAGTCAAAGTTTTGACTCCCCATCCTCAGGTTCAGCCAGCCTGGCAAGACAAAATTCACACTGTACCAGGTTGGCCTCCAAACCCCAAATGCTGCAGCTGCAAGGTGGGGACAAAAGTCCCACACATGCTGGTCCCTCCTCGTTATAGGGCTCTCCAACTTTGGTGTAGCAGCTCACAAGGACTTCCAATGAGTTGTAACAAATCCATCAAACATTTCTTCATAACTTCTTCATATGTGCTCCGATTCCAACAATTCTTGGCTCGTTGGAATGTGCTCGATGTCATGCACAAACCAAGCACATCTGCACAAGCACAAGACGAACATGCAAAGACATGCAAACCCAACAAACCATACAAACAATGTAGCACACAAAACACATGCAACGAAATGATGCGAACAGACGACAGGATGACGTGCAAACGAATATGCACCAACACACTCCCCCTCAGACTGTCGGCTTGTTTCGCCGTCTCTAGTTCAAGGACATTCCCGCCATCCTCGCACAGCGCCAGTGTGGCTCTTCAGCTAGCCGCTTGGTAAGGAAGTCGGCTGGCTGTTGCTGAGTTTTCACGTAGATCGGATCCAGTGTCCCAAGCTTCACCTCCTTCCGCAGCCAATGCCACTTGATCCTCATGTGCTTGTTCAACCCATGAAGAACTGCATTGCGTGCCATGGCAATGGCTCCCTTGCTGTCACTGAACAGAGGTGTCGCACAAGTCTGTTCATGGCCGATCTCCTTCAAGAGCCTCCTTAGCCAAATGATTTCTTTTGCCGCATGAAACATTGCCATGTACTCAGATTCCACTGAAGATAGTGCCGTTTCAGACTGCTTCTTGGACCTCCAACTTACAGGCCCACCTCCCACCATGCAGATGTATCCACCAACTGATGATGAATCCTCATGCTCAGAAGCCCACGTGGCATTAGCAAAACAGGAAAGGAACACCTTTCCTTCTCCGAGCTGCTCCCCCTTCTCTTGAAGGACTTCAACTCCTTTTTGCCTAAGTTGAGCAGAGGCTGAATTCTGTACTCCCACTGTAGGGTATGACTTGAGGTAGCGCACCACTCTCTCCGCTGCACCACACTGCTCTTCTGTTGGATTTTGCACTACTCGAGCCAGCTGTCCCACAGCAAAGCTGATGTCAGGCCGAGTATGCACAGCAGCGTAGAGTAGGCTCCCGACCATGGATTGGAATTGCCTCTGGTCTTCACTTTCAACTCCTTCTCCTTCAGCTGCCTTTATGAGTTTGAACTCGGAAGGCAAAGGTGTAACCACTTCCCGTTCTTCCTGCAGAGAGTACTTCTCAGCCAAGGTGTTGATGTACTGTTCCTGATGCAGCTTGAGCCAGCCACGTTCAGTATCCCCCTCAATGTGCATTCCCAGGTAGTACCTTGCCTCTCCAAGTGACTTGCACTTGAACTGCTCTGTGAGCTTACGCTGCACCCCATCGATCTCCTTGTCACTGCTGCTGAAGAGCAGGATGTCATCCACGTACACCAGCAGAAGCACAAGCGACTCCCCCTCGCCCATCAGGAATAGGCTCTCGTCGCATGCACTCGCACGGAATCCAATCCCTTCCAGTGCACTGGCCAGCCTGTTGTACCAGCATCTCGGGGCCTGCTTCAAGCCATAGATGGCCTTGTTAAGTTTGCAGACACGACCGGTTCCATCCTCATAGCCAGGTGGTTGAACCATGTACACCTCCTCTTCCACAATGCCGTACAGAAAAGCGGTTACGATGTCCATCTGCTTCACCTTCCATTTACGCACAGCAGCTACCGCCAGCAGCACACGTAGCGTTGGAGACTTAGCAGTTGGGGCAAACACTTCTTTGTAATCTTCCTTCTCTTTCTGCTGAAACCCCTTTGCCACCAGCCTGCTCTTGTAAACTGATGGCTCTCCTTTCTCATCCGTCTTGATTTTTGCCAGCCACTTGCACTGTATTGCCTTCTTCCCATTTGGCAAGTATACCAGGTCCCATGTGTGATTCTCCATCTGGCTGTTGTACTCTGCATCTCTTGAAACGAGCCACTTCCCCCGTTGAGGCCCGGCTAGCGCATGATCCATGCTCGGAGGTTGTATTGGTGCGTAAAAACAGTATGCAGGCTCCTCGTCATCTGACTCTTGGTCATCACCCAAGAACAGCACTGCATCTTCGCCTTGAGCCTGTTCCTGCTGCTCAGTTGTGGCTCCTCCACTTGTAGAGCTCAGCAGCTTTCTCGTTGCCATTCTGGTACGTGCAGGGTAGATGGTTGGATTTACCCATTCTTTCACCTTCACCCAATCCTTTGTCCCCCCACCAATCTGTTTCCTTCGCTTTGGCAGACTTGGTGTTTTGGAAGCCTCTTGCTGCTGCTGCTCCGGATCCTTGACTTCAGCATCAGCTGCAATATCCTCATTGCTTCCTTCATCAGTACCGCTTGCCGTTGGCGCCGTGACTTCGCTGTCCTCAGGTTCGGACAAATCGAAGTGCATAGTGATCTCTTCCAGCTGCTGGGTGACCCTTGCCTCAGGCTGCTTCTCCCACTTGCCATACATGATGTTCTCCACAAATTTGACATCCCGACTGTCAAACAGCACATTCTTCGAGGGCTCCCAGAGTAGCCACCCCTTGCTCTCTGCCGCAAGTCCAAGGTGCACACACCACAGTGCAGATGCTCCAAGCTTTGTCCTGTACGGTTTAGGGACATGCGCCACTGCCATGCATCCGAACACTCTGAGCATGTCCACTGGAGGCTTCTTTCCAAGCCACCTCTCCAGCGGTACCCACATATCATCAGCCACCTTTGTGAGTACGCGGTTCCTTGCCACTGTAGCATGCCTCACCGCATGAGGCCACATGGAGTTCCCCAGCCCTGATTCGATCAGCAGCGCTCGCGCAGTTTCCAGGATGGTCCTATTAGCCCTCTCAGCAACGCCATTTGACTGAGGGGTATAGGACGTCGTTAGCTGATGCTCAATGCCTTGTTTCTTGAGCCACGCAGTCAGATCTCCTCCTAGAAACTCTCCACCTCGGTCGGTTCTGATGCTCTTGCATGGGTGCCCAGATTGTCGCTCGACGAACGGCAGCCAATCATCTCGTATTGTTGAGGCAGCATGATCCTTCTGCTTCAACGGGTATGCCCACATCAACCGACTCCAGTCATCAACTATTGTCAGGAAGTACCTTTCCCCCTTACTTCCTCGGACTGGAAAAGGTCCTACCAGGTCCATGTGCACCAGTTCCAGTGCTGCCTTGCTTTTCCCAGCTACGCCGTGAAAGGGGAACCGTGTGAACTTGCTCAGCAGACATGTCTCGCACTTGGTATCATTTGGTTGCCCAGAAAGCTTGAGCCCCTTTACTGCTTCTTCCTTATGCAGTTGCTGCAGCAATGGCATAGCTTCATACCCTAGACGCCTGTGTGTGGTTTCCCAATCAGTCTCCCCCGACCGTGCAGAAACCGTCACTCCTGCAGCACTAACTGCATTGCACTCCCCCAGGACTCCAGATCCCGCCTTTACTGCTCCCAACTCCTTCTTTGTTGATTCCCATATCAGTGCAGGGATCTGCCACATGGATCTGAAGACATCTCTGCTTTCGTGTAAATCCCATAATATACGATCTCCTCGCAGCCCCTTGAATGTTTTGGATCCATTGGTGGTGGTGCTGACTTCGGCTTGGCCTAGCTTGCGCAGTGATATCAGATTGGCCTTCAGCCCCGGTACGAGTAACACGTCCTTAAGCACGACCAGTCCACCATCAGGTGCTCTGAATGCAGCTCGACCAACTCCAGCGACCTTCACTGCATGTCCGGATGCTGAGCGCACTTCGGAGATTGGAGGCGCTCGCACAGCATCCAGCAAGTCCTTGCGTGGTGTCATTGTCCATGCAGCACCAGAGTCCATGACCCACATATCAAGCGGGTGCAGTTCCTCTCCAGCCCTTGCAACAGCTGTGCCACTGTCATCTTTGTCACACACATGGTAGAACTGTCCAGCATTCCTCTCCTCATTTCCCATTCCTCTGTCATCCTTGGAGGTTTCTTCAGCAGGATCAGCTATCATGTTGGCACCTCCATGTGGTTGCTTTGCTCCATTCCCCTTTTGCGATTGGTTCCAAGGGGTCCACCAGTCGGGCTTGGTAGAGCAGCGAAACCATGGATGCCCTTCTTCCCTGCAATACCAGCACTCTCCCCTCAAGCGTGGTTCACTGTTGTCATTGTTGGAGTGACCACCTCTTCCTCTTGCACCAGCGCCACCACGCCCCCGCTGGTTCCAAGTCCCGCGACCACCTTGGTTGTAGTAGGAGCGACCGCGATTGCCACGCCCTCGATCCCTCCATGTCCCTTGCATGGCATAGCCGCTGGTGCTGTCATCACCTCCGCGCAGTGTACAGCGACGAAAATCTTCTTCCAGAATCTTGGTGCGAATCCACTCCAATGTCCATTGACTTTGGTTTTGTGGCAAGCTGAGTCCGCTTATAAATTGCAGCCAAGACACCGCGAAATTGTCTCACTGATCCTGGCAGTGCCAACGAACAACATGTTGAGGTGCACATCAGCAGTGGGAGCTACAGCAGCCTGCACAGATTCCTGCGCTTCGACTTGATTGACTTGGCGAGGAGCACGATTAACCATCCATCTTGGCGGCTTCGAGGCGGTCCCATTGACGGCATACCACTCGTCATCCTTCTTCTTGAAGCAATAGGCAAGGGCGTGGTTGGTGCCGCCACACACATGGCCGGCACGAGGGCCGCGCTTGATGACGTAGGGACACGGGGGGAAGCGGTTGCGCTAGAAAGGTGCCGAAGTGGCATAGGCCTGAGGCACAGGAGCGCGGATTGCATTGGCATTGGCTTGAGCATTGTTGTCCTTTTTGGCAGAAGGGGGTGCTGATGAGACCTTGGCAAATGTGAGGTCCGCGGGAACAAGGCCCAAGAGCATCTTGCGTGTGACTTCGTATGCCGGAGTGAGGCCGACTAGGAGAGCGGCTGCAGGGGCTTGCTCGGGGAAGACTATCCCCAACTGCTTGAGTTCACCATGAATGGACTGCACCTTGGTGACATCATCCGCCATGGCTGGCGAGTCCTCGAGCCGCACTTGGAACATGCTGGGGATGAGTATAGCAACTCCTACTGCAGTCTTGTTGAGGAAGCGGTCTTCGAGGTAGAGCCAAATGGCGTTGGCAGACGGGTAGTTGTGGTAGGTTTTGACGAGTTCGGGAGGAGTGGTGCCCATGAAAACACTAATCACCGCACCATCGGCCTTCTCCCAAATCTTGTACTTGAGCAGTGCAGCAGTATAAACTGCTTTGGCGGCGGCATTAGCTGGATCGGCAGACCTCTCGGGTTTAGGAGGCTCTTTGCCGTCACCAATGTTGAGAAGAACGTTGGTGAGCTCGAGCCCCTTCACCTTGCGACTGAGGAGGTGCTTGTCGACACCATAGCGCCAAGCCTTGTAGTTGGAGCATGTACCGTCCGGCTCGAGACGAAGGAGCGGGATCGGGTTGGCGAGTGAAGTGGTTGAGTAAGCCATTCTCGCTTGATTTTCGCGAAGCGACGCTCTTAACTCACGTGTGCAGCGCGGCACTTCTGGAAATCGGTCGACGAGAACTGCTGAAAATCACTCTGATGGCTTCGTCGAAATGCCGCTAAAATGAAAATGGCGTCGGCGGAAATTTGTTGAAGCGCCGACTTCAAACTGAATATGAGACTATGTCTAACCCCGGAACCACACACCCCCCCACACACCCCCAGGCCCTGTCCCGCAGCTACACAGCTCCGCAACCAGCTCCACAACCAGCTCAGCAACCAGCTCCGCAACAAGCTCCGCTCCGCTTCCACCTGTGTAGTTGCTCTTGCTTGACGCGAGACGTTCGTGGAGGCGATTTCGCGAGGGGTGTTTGCCTATTCTGGCGGGGTCCGAAGGGAAACTCGAAATTGAGATTCGACGAAGGAAAACCGAGAAGGAAATCGACGATGAGAAGCGTAAAAACTTCAGAGATGAGACATTCAAAGAGGTCGAGCGCGAAGGCGGTCGACGATGAGAGGCGCGACTGCAAAGTGGAGCACGTTGAAAATTCCGACGACTCGAGACGAATGTCGCGACAATGAGGTGCGCGTAGCGCGGGCACGTTAAGATTAGGACCTTGATCCGCGTGTGCAGATAGGTCGCTCTGATACCATGTAAAAAATAGAGCTGAAATGATTGATTCGGTAAGGAGCTCAAGGCTCTATAAGTACATGGCAAGGTAAGGGAGAATGGGTGAAGGGGGAATCGGAGGGAATTGTTAGAAACAGAAATGTTCAGTTTATTGATGAAGCAAAGGCATTACATAGGAAGAGAGGGATGAGCTAGGAAGGGAAGGTTGGAAGGGAAAGGGGGGTTAGGACCAATCACAAGGGAGGGAGGATCCTTCCAAATATGGTGGACCACCAGTTGGAGGTGGTCCAAGTGTAGTGTACCACCAGTGGTTTAGCCAACCCACTTGTGGTGCCCCCACAATTGTGGTCCTTGTGTTTGGGGGCTCCAACCACAATTGGGTTGGATTGACACCCCAACACAGGTGTACACCCAACTAGGGATGTAAACACAATATACACAACTAGCATAGCATGCCTCAACTATGCTTCAAGCGATGGGTGAGCTCAAGCACTACCTGGGTGAGCTCAAGCACTATCTGGGTCGATGTAGAAGGACTGAGAGAGGACCACAATTGTGGGGGCACCACAAGTGGGTTGGCTAAACCACTGGTGGTACACCACACTTGGACCACCTCCAACTGGAGGTCAACCACATTTGGAAGGATCCTCCCTCCCTTGTGATTGGTCCTAACCCCCCTTTCCCTTCCAACCTTCCCTTCCTAGCTCATCCCTCTCTTCCTATGTAATGCCTTTGCTTCATCAATAAACTGAACCTTTCTGTTTCTAACATGGTATAGAGCAATAATGGCTCACGCCAACTTTTAAATCCCGATCCTTCCCGACGCTTCCGCCCCGTCCCCTTCCGACGTGCACCTCATTGCCGTCCCCTCCATTGCCGCTGCTAGACTCCTAGCCGCCGCCTCTCAAGTAGTTTTCTGTTGGGTGGATTTTCAAAAACCCCCAATGCGCCAAACGCCATAGCTCTCTTGCTAGTTGACAGAATTGAGTGATTCGACTTGCAAAAGAACGCCCTTGGTGTCAGCTACAACGTCGTAAAATTTTGGACTGTTTCATCGCTTGGATTGTCAGATATCGCTTTCCGAAGTTTGCACACTTTCCTGGATGTGATCACGAAGTGCTACTGAAATTTCTACCAAGTCCTATTTTCATCAGCTAACTGCCATCTTTCCCCATCTTTTGCCTCCTCACCTGCACCTGCTCATCGCCGCCTTACCACTGCTGCAGCCGTAGCAGCAGCAGCAGAAGCAGCAGCAGCACCAGAAGGAGCAGCAGACTCAGCAGCAGCAGCAGCAGCAGTAGCAGCAGCAGCAGCAGCAGCAGCAGCAGCTGAAGGAGCAGCAGCAGCAGCAGCAGCAACAGCGGCAGCAGCAGCAGTGGCAGCAGCAGCAGCGGCAGCAGCAGCCACAGCAGCAGCAGCAGCAGCAGCAGCAGCAGCAGCAGCAGCAGCAGCAGCAGCAGCAGCAGCAGCAGTATCTACAGCCATCCCCATCCTCCCCTCCTCTTTGAGCCGCCGCGGGTCCACCCGCCGCCGCTCCCTCCCAGCCACCGCGGGTCCACCCGCCGTCGCCTTCCTCCCACTCCGTGTCACCAATGGCATCCTTTCCCCCTCCCGTCGACGTCTCGACCCTCGATCATCTCGTGCGCGCTGCCGACAACTCAGCAACCAACTGGTATTCCTTCGTCGGCAGCCTCCACCGCGTCCTCGGCAGTGCTTATGTCCTGCCGTTCCGCCTCTTGGACATCATGCTTGGTCTCCCAGAGGGTGACCTTGGGGACCCGCCGCCTCACCCTGGCGATCCCCCCCCTCTTATTCCCCATCCCGGCGAGGAACCTCCGCCCCCCATGGTACCCGTTGGCACCAGCACTCGCGCTGCCACCGCTGAAGTTGAGCAGCTCTTCTTTACTTTGCGTCGCGAGTTCCTCGTGCTCCATACTGATTACCTGATCGCATTGGAGGAACACGAGCGGTCGGCAACCCTCCGCACCCAGCATGCCGCTACCGCCGCCGCTTATGCCGCTGACTCTGCGCGATTTGCTGAGCGTCGTCGCGCCTGGCTCGAGGCGGACAGCCGTGCTACTGGTGCCCTTCTCCTTGCCATCCCGTCTGCGCTCATGCGCAACTTCCAGGCACGTCGCATCGGCTCCCGCCAGATCTGGCTCGAGCTTGAGGCAATGTTCGAACGCACCGACTTCGATGCTGTCGGACCGCTCTTCAAGGAATACTTCAGCATCACGATCGAACATAGTGCTGGCGCGGTTGACTACACCAGCCATCTCCTGGACCTTGCCTCCCGCCTTGAGGCTCGCCAGACTACTCTCCCCCCCAACCTTCAGACCCACCGTCTCCTCGAAGGCCTCTCGCCTCAATATGAAGTGCGCGTCATCGCCTTCACTGAGGCTCAGCCCCGCGCCTCCCTTGACACTGTGGTCCAATGGATCATTGACGCTGAGGCCCGCCTTCTCTCAACCCCCCCCTCCGGCCTGAACTCCACCGAGTCCCAAAACCCCCAGCTTGCAGTCACACAGCCGCGTCGTGGCGGGCGCCCACGTGGCGGCCGCACCAACCCTCAGGGAGGGGGTGGAGGTGGCGGTTGTGGGGGCAGCGGAGCCGGCGGCGGTGGTTGCGGGGTCGAGGGTGGCAGCAGTGGTGGTGGTGGAGGCAGTAGTGGCTCATCTGGTAGCCGTGGTGGCCGCCCTGGCACTCTCCCCCCATGTTCCTATCTTCGCCGTTTTGGTCCCAGGGCGGGTGAGCGCTGCACCCAAACCAACCATCCCCCCGCGACCTGCTTCAAGGCGTATGATGACGCCTGGTTCGAGCGCGGCAACACTGGCACACCCCCACGCTGGTCTGCCATGGATCCCCGCCCCTCTCTCCAGGATGTCAAAACTCTTCCGTCTTTCCTCCCCTCTCATCTTCAGCTCTCCTCCTCCTCCTCCTCCTCTGTCGCTGACCCCATAACTCCCCAGGAGCTGCAGCAGTTTCGCCGCTTCCAGCAGCTGCAGCTGCTGCAGCAGCAGCAGCAGTGGGGCTCTGGTGGTCAGGCTGCAGCCGCAGCTGCAGGAGCCGCAGCCGCAGCATCTGCATGGCAGCAGCAGCAGCTTGGCTTTGGCACCGCCGCCATGGCTGCCACAGCCACACCAGGTCCTCCTGGCTTTCCCCTCTGGGGCTCTCCTTCCCCTAGTGCTCCCGCCTCCCACTCCAGCTTTCTAGGCGAGCTCATGCGTTCTTCCCCTGCTTCCACTTCCATGTATCCCTCTGTTTTTAATGCCAGTGATTTCCAGTACCCCGTGTCTCCAGCTCCCTCCTCGCTCACGATTGACTTTGTTCTCGATAGTGGTGCCACTGAAACTGCCCTCAAAGACGCCGGCACCCTCACCTCCCTCCCTTTCCCCACCAACGTGCATGGTGCTGATTCCAGCTTCTCCATCCCTTGCACTCATCTCTCCACCCTCCCCTGCCCCCCCTTCCCCTCTGGAGTGGTCACTGGTCTCCACATTCCCTCCCTTCGTCATAACCTGCTCTCCATTCGTGAACTCCAACAGGCTGGCATCACTACCCTCTTCCCCGCCTCTGCCACCTACTGTGACCTCCTCCACGGCCCCACTCGCCGCCTCCTTCATCGCCTCCCACTTTGCCCTCGCTCTCGTCAGTACATCCTCCGCACACCGCGCCCCTCCTCATGCCACGTGACCACTCGTGCAGGCACCTCCACTCTCCCCCCTCCCCTCCCTCTAGAGCCACCTTCCTCCAACTCCACCTCCTCCCCATGCTCTTGTCGCGCACTGTCCCACCCCGCTGTTCTCATCCACCACCGCCTTGGTCATATGAACTTTCCCACACTTCGTAAAGCCGTCTCCTCCCGCTTGCTTGACGGTCTTCCCCCCACTCTTCCTCCCCTCCCGTCCTCTTCCGCTCCCCCATGCGCCACATGCATTCATGGAAAGCTCAAACAACAGCCTCACCTCAGTCATCCTTCCTTTGCTGCTGCCCCCCTTGACCTCGTCCACATGGACCTCTGGGGCCCTAACCCTTCCCCTTCCCGCCAAGGGCACCGGTACATGCTTGTCCTCGTCGACGACCACAGCAGGTACTCCTCGGTGTTCCTCCTCCACACGAAGGCCGAGGCCCCTGCTGTCATCGTTACCTGGGCCGAGCAGTGCCGAGTCCACTTTGGTCGCCCCATCCGCCGCCTCCATTCCGACGGCGGTGGTGAGTTTCTCAACCGCACCCTCTCCTCCTACTGCTCAACCCATGGCATCCAGCAGACTCATACCCTTCCCCACTCCCCTCAGCAGAACGGTGTTGCTGAGAGTCGCATTCGTGAGATCACCAAGACGGCCCGCTGCCTCCTCACTCATGCCTCCACGCCCCCTTCTCTTTGGGGCTATGCCCTTGTCCATGCTGCTCTCCTTACTAATCTTTACCCATATCCTCAACGCCAGTCTGTCACTCCCACTGAGCTCTGGGCTAGCACCAAGCCAGATGCTGCCATTCTCCGTATCTGGGGTTGCAAGGCATATGTCCTCATCCCCCCACCTGACCGCTCTCGGCAGGCAGGAAAGCTCGCCTCCAAGGCCATTGAGTGTGTCTACCTTGGCCACGCTCGCTCTGCCCCTGGTTACCTCTTCCTTCACCCGTCCTCAGGCCGCCTCCTACAGAGCCGTAACGTGGTGTTCGATAAGAGCATCCCGTTCTATCATTCTGTTCCGCCTTCCGACCCCCTTCCTCCTCTCTCCCGCCCCCTCACCTGGGCTGATGCTGTCATTCCCCCACTCCTTCCCCAGGCTCCCCTCCTTCCTCCAAATCCTGCTCCTCCCCCTCCTCCTTCCTCAGGTGACATTTACGACCCAGCTGTCCCTGACTCCCCTGCTCACTCTGCCTCATCGCACCAGCACCAGCAGCAGCAGCAGCAGCAGCAGCAGCAGGTGCAGCAGCAGCAGCGGATGGAGCAGCAGCAGCAGCAGCAGCAGCAGCAGGAGGTGCAGCAGCGGATGGAGCAGCAGCAGCAGCAGCAGCAGCAACAGCAGCCGCAGCAGGAGGTGCAGCAGCAGCAGCAGCAGCAGCCACAGGAGCAGCAGCAGCAGCAGCAGCAGCAGCAGCCACTGCAGCAACCTCATCGGCATCGCCGCACCACCTCTCCATTCATCCTCCCACGCATCCACACTCGCTCTCACGGCCCACTCATAGGCCATCCATGGGGTTGGCCAACACCACCCCCACCCTCCCTTCCCTTCATTGAGGACTCCCATGAGGAGCTCATTGGCGTTCAGCAACAAACACCTTCCCTCACGCCTCTCTACCCGGGCTTCCTTGGCCTCCTCATCCTTGGCATTGCTACCGCTCCCACCAGATTCACTCTGTCCAACTTCCTTGAGGCCATCACCTGCCCCGATGCTGCCAAGTGGATCCAGGCTATCTTTGCTGAATGCGAGGCCTTCATCCGCAATGCCTCATTCGTTAACATTGTCCCCTCTCCTGACGACGTCATTGTTGAAGGCCTGTGGGTGTTCCGAGTGAAGCAGCTGCCGGGTGAGGAGCCGGTCTACAAGGCCCGGTATTGTGCCAAGGGCTTCACCCAAACCCATGGCATCGACTACTGGGAGACATTCTCTCCCACTGCCAAGCTCCCAACTCTCCGTGCCATCCTCGACTATGCTGTTCGCATTGGCATGGAGATTGCCTCCATGGATGTCTCCAACGCCTTCCTGCAAGGCGAGCTCCAGGAGCGGGTCCTCTTGCGGCGGCCTCCAGGCTTTCATGCAGCCTTCCCTGCCAACACAATCTGGGAGCTGCGCCGCCCGGTTTATGGCCTCAAGCAGGCTCCTCGCGAGTGGCACAACAAGCTGGCCGCCACTCTGCAGTCCTTGGGGTTCCATGCCTCTCAGTCTGATGCCAGCCTTTTCCTTCGCTCCTCTCCCACCCGCTTCTTCATCCTGGTGTATGTCGACGACATGATCCTGTTCGCTGACGATGCTGCCGCCATGCAGCAAGTGAAGGACGCCCTGCATGCGCGCCTCAAGTGCAAGGACCTGGGTGAGCTCAAGCACTATCTGGGCATGACCATCACCCGGGACCGCACATCGCGCACCATTACCCTCTCTCAGTCCTTCTACATCGACCAAGTCTTGCAGCGGTTTGACATGGCGCAGGCCAAGCCGGTTACCACTCCCCTGCAGACCGACCACCACCAGCTTGCCCCTCCTCCTGCTCCCTCCTCCTCTGACCATCCTTACGCTGAGCTCGTCGGCTCGCTGATGTACGCTATGATGTGCACCCGCCCCGACCTTGCCTACCCCATCAGTGTTCTTGCTCGATTCGTCGGTACCGGTCGCCACACTAATGAGCACTGGGCTGCAGCGAAGCGGGTCCTCCGCTACCTCCGTGGTACCAAGGACTATGTCCTCACCCTCGGAGACTCTTCTCCTCCCCTCCTCTCTGGCTTCAGTGACTCCTCCTGGGCTGACTCCCAGCCGGATCGCCGTTCCTCTCAAGGCTACGGCTTCACCCTTGGCAGTGGCCTCATCAGCTGGCGCTCCACTCGCTCCTCCTCCATCGCCCTCTCATCCTGCGAGGCTGAGCTCTATGCTTGCACCATGGCCGCTCAGGAGGCTCGCTGGCTCACCTTCCTCCTTGCTGAGATCGGTGCTCCTCAGCGCTGTCCCACCCTCTGGTGCGACAACGCCAGCACCATCCATCTCACAAAGGACCCTGTCTTCCATGGCCGCTCCAAGCACATTGAACTCCGCTACTTCTTCGTTCGAGAGTTGGTCCAGCAAGGTCACTTGGTGGTCCGCAAGATCGCTGCAGAGGCCAACTTGGCCGACATCTTCACCAAGGCCCTCCCGAAGACCGCGCACTCTGCCCTCCTCCGCCTTCTCGGCCTTGGGCCCCGCCCCCCTTCCTGATTCTGGGGTTGTACCCTACATAAACCACAAGTGGGTTGGCTAAACCACAGGTGGTACACCACACTTGGACCACCTCCAACTGGTGGTCCACCATATTTGGAAGGATCCTCCCTCCCTTGTGATTGGTCCTAACCCCCCTTTCCCTTCCAACCTTCCCTTCCTAGCTCATCCCTCTCTTCCTATGTAATGCCTTTGCTTCATCAATAAACTGAACCTTTCTGTTTCTAACAATTCCCTCCGATTCCCCCTTCACCCATTCTCCCTTACCTTGCCATGTACTTATAGAGCCTTGAGCTCCTTACCGAATCAATCATTTCAGCTCTATTTTTTACATGGTATCAGAGCGACCTATCTGCACACGCGGATCAAGGTCCTAATCTTAACGTGCCCGCGCTACGCGCACCTCATTGTCGCGACATTCGTCTCGAGTCGTCGGAATTTTCAACGTGCTCCACTCTGCAGTCGCGCCTCTCATCGTCGACCGCCTTCGCGCTCGACCTCTTTGAATGTCTCATCTCTGAAGTTTTTACGCTTCTCATCGTCGATTTCCTTCTCGGTTTTCCTTGGTCGAATGTCAATTTCGAGTTTCCCTTCGGACCCCGCCAGAATAGGCAAACACCCCTCGCGAAATCGCCTCCACGAACGTCTCGCGTCAAGCAAGAGCAACTACACAGGTGGAAGCGGAGCGGAGCTCGTTGCGGAGCTGGTTGCTGAGCTGGTTGTGGAGCTGGTTGCGGAGCTGGTTGCGGAGCTGTGTAGCTGCGGGACAGGGCCTGGGGGTGTGTGGGGGGGTGTGTGGTTCCGGGGTTAGACATAGTCTCATATTCAGTTTGAAGTCGGCGCTTCAACAAATTTCCGCCGACGCCATTTTCATTTTAGCGGCATTTCGACGAAGCCATCAGAGTGATTTTCAGCAGTTCTCGTCGACCGATTTCCAGAAGTGCCGCGCTGCACACGTGAGTTAAGAGCGTCGCTTCGCGAAAATCAAGCTAGAATGGCTTACTCAACCACTTCACTCGCCAACCCGATCCCGCTCCTTCGTCTCGAGCCGGACGGTACATGCTCCAACTACAAGGCTTGGCGCTATGGTGTCGACAAGCACCTCCTCAGTCGCAAGGTGAAAGGGCTCGAGCTCACCAACGTTCTTCTCAACATTGGTGACGGCAAAGAGCCTCCTAAACCCGAGAGGTCTGCCGATCCAGCTAATGCCGCCGCCAAAGCAGTTTATACTGCTGCACTGCTCAAGTACAAGATTTGGGAGAAGGCCGATGGTGCGGTGATTAGTGTTTTCATGGGCACCACTCCTCCCGAACTCATCAAAACCTACCACAACTACCCATCTGCCAACGCCATTTGGCTCTACCTCGAAGACCGCTTCCTCAACAAGACTGCAGTGGGAGTTGCTATACTCATCCCCAGCATGTTCCAAGTGCGGCTCGAGGACTCGCCAGCCATGGCGGATGATGTCACCAAGGTGCAGTCCATTCATGGTGAACTCAAGCAGTTGGGGATAGTCTTCCCCGAGCAAGCCCCTGCAGCCGCTCTCCTAGTCGGCCTCACTCCGGCATACGAAGTCACACGCAAGATACTCTTGGGCCTTGTTCCCGCGGACCTCACATTTGCCAAGGTCTCATCAGCACCCCCTTCTGCCAAAAAGGACAACAATGCTCAAGCCAATGCCAATGCAATCCGCGCTCCTGTGCCTCAGGCCTATGCCACTTCGGCACCTTTCTAGCGCAACCGCTTCCCCCCGTGTCCCTACGTCATCAAGCGCGGCCCTCGTGCCGGCCATGTGTGTGGCGGCACCAACCACGCCCTTGCCTATTGCTTCAAGAAGAAGGATGACGAGTGGTATGCCGTCAATGGGACCGCCTCGAAGCCGCCAAGATGGATGGTTAATCGTGCTCCTCGCCAAGTCAATCAAGTCGAAGCGCAGGAATCTGTGCAGGCTGCTGTAGCTCCCACTGCTGATGTGCACCTCAACATGTTGTTCATTGGCACTGCCAGGATCAGTGAGACAATTTCGCAGTGTCCGGGCTCACAAAACACCTCAGCCACAGTAGATTTCACTCTTGAAAGTAGGGTCAATCACACAGTTCTCAAGGAAGAACACTCCTTTAAGCCATACGAGACACCAATCCCTCTACTAGGAGCAGAATCCAATTTCACAACACACGCCTGGGGCTCCTTCACAGTTCCGAGCCCAGCTTTCCTTCGGGCAGTGTCACCGGCATGTGTGTTCCCACACTACGCCACAATCTCATCGCCTAATACGAGCTCCAACAAGCAGGCGTCATCACGATCTTCCCAGCACCCTCAGATCACTGTGACCTCCTCGACCCTAAGTCCAACAAGCTCCTAGCATGCTTCACATTCAACAGCAGCAAGCTCTACACGCTGCGTTCATCTGCACCTCTCGCCGCCCTCTCCCAAGCGCAAGCTGCCAACACCACTCCGTGTTCCTGTCGCAGCTTCGCCAACCCAACTATTCTCTACCACCATCGCTTGGGTCACCTCAACTTCCATACGCTTGCCGACATTGCATCCAAGAAACTTCTTCTTGGCCTCCCCTCGGCGCTTCCTCCACCAACAGACTCACCTGCACCTACATGCCTGGACTGCACCAAGAGTATGCTTAGGTAGCAGCCGCACCCTTCCTCCCCATCTGTTGCAGCTGCTCCGCTGGACCTAGTGCACATGGATGTCTGGGGCCTAGCTCCAGTTGTTGGTTACAGAAGGCTATCAACAGATGATTCATTAGCTCCTTGGAAATTTCTGCAGCACTTCGTTATGACGCCCAGAAAACTCGCGACCTTCGAAAAGTTATATCCAAAACTCCAATCAGTGAAAAAATCTGAAAATCGGATATATTGTAGCGTCTAGCGTCAGCTTTCAAATAAAAGTTGAATCACTCGATTCCATAGCTGATCGAGTGAGCTATGGCGTTTGGCGCACTGGGGGGTAATCTGCTCTATCAGAAATAGACAGTTTTCAGAATCAGTATTATTGAAGCTTACAAGTTCAAAGGCATGATAGAAAAGGCATTGAAGCACAGTTGGAAGGTGGGGATGGAAGGGAAGGATGAAAGGGAAGGACCCTGCAGGCCCATGGTCAAGAACATGTCAAGAGTCAAATTCTTGACTCCCCATCTTCAAATTCAACCAGACTGGCAAGACAAAATTCACACTGTGCCAGGTTGGCCTCCAACCCCCAAATGCTGCAGCTGCAAGGTGAGGACAAAAGTCCCACACATGCTGGTCCCTCCTCGTTATAGGGCTCTCCAACTTTGGTGTAGCAACTGCCAAGGACTTCCAATGAGTTGTAACAAATCCATCAAACATTTCATCGGAACTTCTTCATATGTGCTCCGATTCCAACAATTCTTGGCTCGTTGGAATGTGCTCGATGTCATGGCATGCCTGGTTGATGTACGACAGGCCTGGTTGATGCATGGCATGCTTAATGGACGCAAGGCATGCCTGGTTGGTTGATGCATGGCATGCCAGGTTGGTTGATGCATTTTATGCTCCGTTGGATGATGCATGGCATGCCTAGTTGATGCATGGAATGCTTGGTTGATGCATGGGGTGCCTAGTTGATGCATTGCATACCTTGATGGTTTATGCATGGCACCTGACGTCATCATGGCATGGGTGCGCCAGGCTCAAGTCACGTTCGGCACTCCTCTGAAGTGCCTCCATTCTGATGGCGGGGGAGAATTTCGCAATGGCAAACTCGATAACTGCTGCGCGGCCCAACCGATTCGGCAAACCTTCACGCTCCCCGAAAGCCCGCAGCAGAACGGCATTGCAGAGAGCCGCAACCACACCTTGGTTCAAATTGCTCGCTGCCTCCTCAGTCACGCCAACGCACCACGGTCACTCTGCGGATATGCCCTCTTCCATGCGGCACTCCTCTACAATCATTATCCGCATCCCCACCGGCCCGACACCAGACCTACCACTCTCTGGCTTGGGGCCACGCCCTCCGCCCGCTCTCTACGCGTCTCGGGTGTACTGCGTATGTGTTGCTCAGCCCACACACACGCAGGAAGCAAGGTGGCAAGCTTGGTCCCAAAACCCAGACCAGGCTTGAGGCACGGAAGCGCAGATTGCATTGGCCTTGGCTTGAGCGCTGTTGTCATTTTCGGCAGAAAGGAGCGCAGATGAGACCTTGGCAAATGTGAGGTCCGCAGGAGCAAGGCCCAAGAGCATCTTGCGTGTGACTTCGTATGCCGGAGTGAGGCCGAGTAGGAGAGCGGCTGCAGGGGCTTGCTCGGGGAAGACTATCCCCAACTGCTTGAGTTCACCATGAATGGACTGCACCTTGGTAACATAGTCCGCCATGCCTGGCGAGTTCTCGAGCCGCACTTGGAACATGCTGGGGATGAGTATAGCAACTCCCACTGCAGTCTTGTTGAGGAAGCGGTCTTCGAGGTGGAGCCAAATGGCGTTGGCAGACGGGTAGTTGTGGTACGTTTCGACGAGTTCGGGAGGAGTGGTGCCCATGAAAACACTAATCACCGCACCATCGGCCTTCTCTCAATTCATGTACTTGAGCAGTGCAGCAGTATAAACTGCTTTGGCGGCGCCATTAGCTGGATTGCCAGACCTCTTGGGTTTAGGAGGCTCTTTGCCGTCACCAATGTTGAGAAGAACGGCGGTGAGCTCGAGCCCCTTCACCTTGCGACTGAGGAGGTGCTTGTCGACACCATAGCGCCAAGCCTTGTAGTTGGAGCATGTACCGTCTGGCTCGAGACGAAGGAGCGGGATCGGGTTGGCGAGTGAAGTGGTTGAGTAAGCCATTCCCATCTGATTTTCGCGAGGCAACGCTCTTAAGTCACCGATCATTCATGGAAAGCTCAAACAACAGCCTCACCTCAGTCGTCCTTCCTTTGCTGCTGCCCCCCTTGACCTCGTCCACATGGACCTCTGGGGCCCTAACCCTTCCCCTTCCCGCCAAGGGCACCGGTACATGCTTGTCCTCGTCGACGACCACAGCAGGTACTCCTCGGTGTTCCTCCTCCACACGAAGGCCGAGGCCCCTGCTGTCATCGTTACCTGGGCCGAGCAGTGCCGAGTCCACTTTGGTTGCCCCATCCACCGCCTCCATTCCGACGGCGGTGGTGAGTTTCTCAACCGCACCCTCTCCTCCTACTGCTCAACCCATGGCATCCAGCAGACTCATACCCTTCCCCACTCCCCTCAGCAGAACGGTGTTGCTGAGAGTCGCATTCGTGAGATCACCAAGACGGCCCGCTGCCTCCTCACTCATGCCTCCACGCCCCCTTCTCTTTGGGGCTATGCCCTTGTCCATGCTGCTCTCCTTACTAATCTTTACCCACATCCTCAACGCCAGTCTGTCACTCCCACTGAGCTCTGGGCTAGCACCAAGCCAGATGCTGCCATTCTCCGTATCTGGGGTTGCAAGGCATATGTCCTCATCCCCCCACCTGACCGCTCTCGGCAGGCAGGAAAGCTCGCCTCCAAGGCCATTGAGTGTGTCTACCTTGGCCATGCTCGCTCTGCCCCTGGTTACCTCTTCCTTCACCCGTCCTCAGGCCGCCTCCTACAGAGCCGTAACGTGGTGTTCGATGAGAGCATCCCGTTCTATCATTCTGTTCCGCCTTCCGACCCCCTTCCTCCTCTCTCCCGCCCCCTCACCTGGGCTGATGCTGTCATTCCCCCACTCCTTCCCCAGGCTCCCCTCCTTCCTCCAAATCCTGCTCCTCCCCCTCCTCCTTCCTCAGGTGACATTTACGACCCAGCTGTCCCTGACTCCCCTGCTCACTCTGCCTCATCGCACCAGCACCAGCAGCAGCAGCAGCAGCAGCAGCAGCAGCAGCAGCAGCAGCAGCAGCAGCAGCAGCAGCAGCAGCAGCAGCAGGTGCAGCAGCAGCAGCGGATGGAGCAGCAGCAGCAGCAGCAGCAGCAGGAGGTGCAGCAGCGGATGGAGCAGCAGCAGCAGCAGCAGCAGCAACAGCAGCCGCAGCAGGAGGTGCAGCAGCAGCAGCAGCAGCAGCCACAGCAGCAGCAGCAGCCACAGCAGCAGCAGCAGCAGCAGCAGCAGCAGCCACTGCAGCAACCTCATCGGCATCGCCGCACCACCTCTCCATTCATCCTCCCACGCATCCACACTCGCTCTCACGGCCCACTCATAGGCCATCCATGGGGTTGGCCAACACCACCCCCACCCTCCCTTCCCTTCATTGAGGACTCCCATGAGGAGCTCATTGGCGTTCAGCAACAAACACCTTCCCTCACGCCTCTCTACCCGGGCTTCCTTGGCCTCCTCATCCTTGGCATTGCTACCGCTCCCACCAGATTCACTCTGTCCAACTTCCTTGAGGCCATCACCTGCCCCGATGCTGCCAAGTGGATCCAGGCTATCTTTGCTGAATGCGAGGCCTTCATCCGCAATGCCTCATTCGTTAACATTGTCCCCTCTCCTGACGACGTCATTGTTGAAGGCCTGTGGGTGTTCCGAGTGAAGCAGCTGCCGGGTGAGGAGCCGGTCTACAAGGCCCGGTATTGTGCCAAGGGCTTCACCCAAACCCATGGCATCGACTACTGGGAGACATTCTCTCCCACTGCCAAGCTCCCAACTCTCCGTGCCATCCTCGACTATGCTGTTCGCATTGGCATGGAGATTGCCTCCATGGATGTCTCCAACGCCTTCCTGCAAGGCGAGCTCCAGGAGCGGGTCCTCTTGCGGCGGCCTCCAGGCTTTCATGCAGCCTTCCCTGCCAACACAGTCTGGGAGCTGCGCCACCCAGTTTATGGCCTCAAGCAGGCTCCTCGCGAGTGGCACAACAAGCTGGCCGCCACTCTGCAGTGTTGCTTAGAGAAGGCTATAAGCAGATGATTCAATGGCTCCTTGGAAATTTCTGCAGCACTTCGTTATGACGCCCAGAAAACTCGGGACCTTCGAAAAGCTATATCCAAAACTCCAATCGATGAAACGATTTGAAAATCAGATATGTTGTAGGTTGCAGCGTCAGCTTTCCTCTGAAAGTTGATTCACTCGATTCCGTAGCTTAACGAGCGAGCTATGGCGTTTGGCGCACTGGGGGGTAATCTGCCCTAGGAGAAGTTGACAATCCTCAGAGTCACAATGATTGAAGCTTACAAGTTCAGAGGCATGATTGAAAAGGCATTGAAGCACAGTTGGAAGGTAGGGATGGAAGGGAAGGATGAAAGGGAAGGACCCTGCAGGCCCATGGTCAAGAACATGACAAGAGTCAAAGTCTTGACTCCCCATCCTCAGGTTCAGCCAGCCTGGCAAGACAAAATTCACACTGTACGAGGTTGGCCTCCAAACCCCAAATGCTGCAGCTGCAGGGTGGGGACAAAAGTCCCACACATGCTGGTCCCTCCTTGTTATAGGGCTCTCCAACTTTGGTGTAGCAGCTCACAAGGACTTCCAATGAGTTGTAACAAATCCATCAAACATTTCTTCATAACTTCTTCATATGTGCTCCGATTCCAACAATTCTTGGCTCGTTGGAATGTGCTCGATGTCATGCACAAACCAAGCACATCTGCACAAGCACAAGACGAACATGCAAAGACATGCAAACCCAACAAACCATACAAACAATGTAGCACACAAAACACATGCAACGAAATGATGCGAACAGACGACAGGATGACGTGCAAACGAATATGCACCAACACACTCCCCCTCAGACTGTCGGCTTGTTTCGCCGTCTCTAGTTCAAGGACATTCCCGCCATCCTCGCACAGCGCCAGTGTGGCTCTTCAGCTAGCCGCTTGGTAAGGAAGTCGGCTGGCTGTTGCTGAGTTTTCACGTAGATCGGATCCAGTGTCCCAAGCTTCACCTCCTTCCGCAGCCAATGCCACTTGATCCTCATGTGCTTGTTCAACCCATGAAGAACTGCATTGCGTGCCATGGCAATGGCTCCCTTGCTGTCACTGAACAGAGGTGTCGCACAAGTCTGTTCATGGCCGATCTCCTTCAAGAGCCTCCTTAGCCAAATGATTTCTTTTGCCGCATGAAACATTGCCATGTACTCAGATTCCACTGAAGATAGTGCCGTTTCAGACTGCTTCTTGGACCTCCAACTTACAGGCCCACCTCCCACCATGCAGATGTATCCACCAACTGATGATGAATCCTCATGCTCAGAAGCCCACGTGGCATTAGCAAAACAGGAAAGGAACACCTTTCCTTCTCCGAGCTGCTCCCCCTTCTCTTGAAGGACTTCAACTCCTTTTTGCCTGAGTTGAGCAGAGGCTGAATACTGTACTCCCACTGTAGGGTATGACTTGAGGTAGCGCACCACTCTCTCCGCTGCACCACACTGCTCTTCTGTTGGATTTTGCACTACTCGAGCCAGCTGTCCCACAGCAAAGCTGATGTCAGGCCGAGTATGCACAGCAGCGTAGAGTAGGCTCCCGACCATGGATTGGAATTGCCTCTGGTCTTCAGTCTCAACTCCTTCTCCTTCAGCTGCCTTTATGAGTTTGAACTCGGAAGGCAAAGGTGTAACCACTTCCCGTTCTTCCTGCAGAGAGTACTTCTCAGCCAAGGTGTTGATGTACTGTCCCTGATGCAGCTTGAGCCAGCCACGTTCAGTATCCCGCTCAATGTGCATTCCCAGGTAGTACCTTGCCTCTCCAAGTGACTTGCACTTGAACTGCTCTGTGAGCTTACGCTGCACCCCATCGATCTCCTTGTCACTGCTGCTGAAGAGCAGGATGTCATCCACGTACACCAGCAGAAGCACAAGCGACTCCCCCTCGCCCATCAGGAATAGGCTCTCGTCGCATGCACTCGCACGGAATCCAATCCCTTCCAGTGCACTGGCCAGCCTGTTGTACCAGCATCTCGGGGCCTGCTTCAAGCCATAGATGGCCTTGTTAAGTTTGCAGACACGACCGGTTCCATCCTCATAGCCAGGTGGTTGAACCATGTACACCTCCTCTTCCACAATGCCGTACAGAAAAGCGGTTACGATGTCCATCTGCTTCACCTTCCATTTACGCACAGCAGCTACCGCCAGCAGCACACGTAGCGTTGGAGACTTAGCAGTTGGGGCAAACACTTCTTTGTAATCTTCCTTCTCTTTCTGCTGAAACCCCTTTGCCACCAGCCTGCTCTTGTAAACTGATGGCTCTCCTTTCTCATCCGTCTTGATTTTTGCCAGCCACTTGCACTGTATTGCCTTCTTCCCATTTGGCAAGTATACCAGGTCCCATGTGTGATTCTCCATCTGGCTGTTGTACTCTGCATCTCTTGAAACGAGCCACTTCCCCCGTTGAGGCCCGGCTAGCGCATGATCCATGCTCGGAGGTTGTATTGGTGCGTAAAAGCAGTATGCAGGCTCCTCGTCATCTGACTCTTGGTCATCACCCAAGAACAGCACTGCATCTTCGCCTTGAGCCTGTTCCTGCTGCTCAGTTGTGGCTCCTCCACTTGTAGAGCTCAGCAGCTTTCTCGTTGCCATTCTGGTACGTGCAGGGTAGATGGTTGGATTTACCCATTCTTTCACCTTCACCCAATCCTTTGTCCCCCCACCAATCTGTTTCCTTCGCTTTGGCAGACTTGGTGTTTTGGAAGCCTCTTGCTGCTGCTGCTGCTCCGGATCCTTGACTTCAGCATCAGCTGCAATATCCTCATTGCTTCCTTCATCAGTACCGCTTGCCGTTGGCGCCGTGACTTCGCTGTCCTCAGGTTCGGACAAATCGAAGTGCATAGTGATCTCTTCCAGCTGCTGGGTGACCCTTGCCTCAGGCTGCTTCTCCCACTTGCCATACATGATGTTCTCCACAAATTTGACATCCCGACTGTCAAACAGCACATTCTTCGAGGGCTCCCAGAGTAGCCACCCCTTGCTCTCTGCCGCAAGTCCAAGGTGCACACACCACAGTGCAGATGCTCCAAGCTTTGTCCTGTACGGTTTAGGGACATGCGCCACTGCCATGCATCCGAACACTCTGAGCATGTCCACTGGAGGCTTCTTTCCAAGCCACCTCTCCAGCGGTACCCACATATCATCAGCCACCTTTGTGAGTACGCGGTTCCTTGCCACTGTAGCATGCCTCACCGCATGAGGCCACATGGAGTTCCCCAGCCCTGATTCGATCAGCAGCGCTCGCGCAGTTTCCAGGATGGTCCTATTAGCCCTCTCAGCAACGCCATTTGACTGAGGGGTATAGGACGTCGTTAGCTGATGCTCAATGCCTTGTTTCTTGAGCCACGCAGTCAGATCTCCTCCTAGAAACTCTCCACCTCGGTCGGTTCTGATGCTCTTGCATGGGTGCCCAGATTGTCGCTCGACGAACGGCAGCCAATCATCTCGTATTGTTGAGGCAGCATGATCCTTCTGCTTCAACGGGTATGCCCACATCAACCGACTCCAGTCATCAACTATTGTCAGGAAGTACCTTTCCCCCTTACTTCCTCGGACTGGAAAAGGTCCTACCAGGTCCATGTGCACCAGTTCCAGTGCTGCCTTGCTTTTCCCAGCTACGCCGTGAAAGGGGAACCGTGTGAACTTGCTCAGCAGACATGTCTCGCACTTGGTATCATTTGGTTGCCCAGAAAGCTTGAGCCCCTTTACTGCTTCTTCCTTATGCAGTTGCTGCAGCAATGGCATAGCTTCATACCCTAGACGCCTGTGTGTGGTTTCCCAATCAGTCTCCCCCGACCGTGCAGAAACCGTCACTCCTGCAGCACTAACTGCATTGCACTCCCCCAGGACTCCAGATCCCGCCTTTACTGCTCCCAACTCCTTCTTTGTTGATTCCCATATCAGTGCAGGGATCTGCCACATGGATCTGAAGACATCTCTGCTTTCGTGTAAATCCCATAATACACGATCTCCTCGCAGCCCCTTGAATGTTTTGGATCCATTGGTGGTGGTGCTGACTCCGGCTTGGCCTAGCTTGCGCAGTGATATCAGATTGGCCTTCAGCCCCGGTACGAGTAACACGTCCTTAAGCACGACCAGTCCACCATCAGGTGCTCTGAATGCAGCTCGACCAACTCCAGCGACCTTCACTGCATGTCCGGATGCTGAGCGCACTTCGGAGATTGGAGGCGCTCGCACAGCATCCAGCAAGTCCTTGCGTGGTGTCATTGTCCATGCAGCACCAGAGTCCATGACCCACATATCAAGCGGGTGCAGTTCCTCTCCAGCCCTTGCAACAGCTGTGCCACTGTCATCTTTGTCACACACATGGTAGAACTGTCCAGCATTCCTCTCCTCATTTCCCATTCCTCTGTCATCCTTGGAGGTTTCTTCAGCAGGATCAGCTATCATGTTGGCACCTCCATGTGGTTGCTTTGCTCCATTCCCCTTTTGCGATTGGTTCCAAGGGGTCCACCAGTCGGGCTTGGTAGAGCAGCGAAACCATGGATGCCCTTCTTCCCTGCAATACCAGCACTCTCCCCTCAAGCGTGGTTCACTGTTGTCATTGTTGGAGTGACCACCTCTTCCTCTTGCACCAGCGCCACCACGCCCCCGCTGGTTCCAAGTCCCGCGACCACCTTGGTTGTAGTAGGAGCGACCGCGATTGCCACGCCCTCGATCCCTCCATGTCCCTTGCATGGCATAGCCGCTGGTGCTGTCATCACCTCCGCGCAGTGTACAGCGACGAAAATCTTCTTCCAGAATCTTGGTGCGAATCCACTCCAATGTCCATTGACTTTGGTTTTGTGGCAAGCTGAGTCCGCTTATAAATTGCAGCCAAGACTCGGGCAGCAGGCTGAGCATCTTGAGACACTTAGTCTGCTCAGGGTACGTGATGCCTGCAATCGCCAATTTCGCGTAGAGTTCCCTCATCTTGTCCAGTACGGGCTGCACAGGTTCATTCTCGCTCAACCGCAGCATGGACAGCTCCCGATCCAGCATGAGAGAAGCGGCAACCGATGTCGGAGCGTGCAGGTCCTTGAGCACTGCCCATGCCTTGGGCCCACAATCAATTTCCGGTAGCAGATGCATGATGCGATGCCTCTGGTTCAGCTCCAAGCTTTGTGACAGTAGATAATACCCAGCAGATGAACGTTCATCCCAGTCCGCTTGCTCTGCCATTTCCTTTGGCCTTGGCTCCGTTCCAATCATGAGCTTCAAGAGGCCAATTTGTCGAAAGTAGAGCTGCATCTTCCATGCCCAATCGTCATAGCCATCTCCAGAGAACTTCTCAATGGTGAAGCTCTTCAGCACCTCCTTAAGCAGTGACCCCTGGCTTGTATGCGCTCCCCTTTGCGCTGCAATGCCAGAATCTTGGGTTGAGCTGCCTCCTTGGACTGAAGTATTACCTCCACCAGAGTCCTCCTTATCTCCCATCGTATTTTAGGTCCCAAATGCATGATAATGGGCTCTGATACCACTTGTTGCTTAGAGAAGGCTATAAGCAGATGATTCAATGGCTCGGAAATTTCTGCACCACTTCGTTATGACGCCCAGAAAACTCGCGACCTTCGAAAAGCTATATCCAAAACTCCAATCGATGAAACAATCTGAAAATCAGATATGTTGTAGGTTGCAGCGTCAACTTTCCTCTGAAATTTGAATCACTCGATTCCGTAGCTTAACGAGCGAGCTATGGCGTTTGGCGCACTGGGGGGTAATCTGCCCTAGGAGAAGTTGACAATCCTCAGAGTCACAATGATTGAAGCTTACAAGTTCAGAGGCATGATTGAAAAGGCATTGAAGCACAGGTGGAAGGTAGGGATGGAAGGGAAGGATGAAAGGGAAGGACCCTGCAGGCCCATGGTCAAGAACATGTCAAGAGTCAAAGTCTTGACTCCCCATCCTCAGGTTCAGCCAGCCTGGCAAGACAAAATTCACACTGTACCAGGTTGGCCTCCAAACCCCAAATGCTGCAGCTGCAGGGTGGGGACAAAAGTCCCACACATGCTGGTCCCTCCTCGTTATAGGGCTCTCCAACTTTGGTGTAGCAGCTCACAAGGACTTCCAATGAGTTGTAACAAATCCATCAAACATTTCTTCATAACTTCTTCATATGTGCTCCGATTCCAACAATTCTTGGCTCGTTGGAATGTGCTCGATGTCATGCACAAACCAAGCACATCTGCACAAGCACAAGACGAACATGCAAAGACATGCAAACCCAACAAACCATACAAACAATGTAGCACACAAAACACATGCAACGAAATGATGCGAACAGACGACAGGATGACGTGCAAACGAATATGCACCAACATGCAGTCCTTGGGGTTCCATGCCTCTCAGTCTGATGCCAGCCTTTTCCTTCGCTCCTCTCCCACCCGCTTCTTCATCCTGGTGTATGTCGACGACATGATCCTGTTCGCTGACGATGCTGCCGCCATGCAGCAAGTGAAGGACGCCCTGCATGCGTGCCTCAAGTGCAAGGACCTGGGTGAGCTCAAGCACTATCTGGGCATGACCATCACCCGGGACCGCACATCGCGCACCATTACCCTCTCTCAGTCCTTCTACATCGACCAAGTCTTGCAGCGGTTCGACATGGCGCAGGCCAAGCCGGTTACCACTCCCCTGTAGACCGACCACCACCAGCTTGCCCCTCCTCCTGCTCCCTCCTCCTCTGACCATCCTTACGCTGAGCTCGTCGGCTCGCTGATGTACGCTATGATGTGCACCCGCCCCGACCTTGCCTACCCCATCAGTGTTCTTGCTCGATTCGTCGGTACCGGTCGCCACACTGATGAGCACTGGGCTGCAGCGAAGCGGGTCCTCCGCTACCTCCGTGGTACCAAGGACTATGTCCTCACCCTCGGAGGCTCTTCTCCTCCCCTCCTCTCTGGCTTCAGTGACTCCTCCTGGGCTGACTCCCAGCCGGATCGCCGTTCCTCTCAAGGCTACGGCTTCACCCTTGGCAGTGGCCTCATCAGCTGGCGCTCCACTCGCTCCTCCTCCATCGCCCTCTCATCCTGCGAGGCTGAGCTCTATGCTTGCACCATGGCCGCTCAGGAGGCTCGCTGGCTCACCTTCCTCCTTGCTGAGATCGGTGCTCCTCAGCGCTGTCCCACCCTCTGGTGCGACAACGCCAGCACCATCCATCTCACAAAGGACCCTGTCTTCCATGGCCGCTCCAAGCACATTGAACTCCGCTACTTCTTCGTTCGAGAGTTGGTCCAGCAAGGTCACTTGGTGGTCCGCAAGATCGCTGCAGAGGCCAACTTGGCCGACATCTTCACCAAGGCCCTCCCAAAGACCGCGCACTCTGCCCTCCTCCGCCTTCTCGGCCTTGGGCCCCGCCCCCCTTCCTGATTCTGGGGTTGTACCCTACATATACACTAGCTTTGCATGCTATGGGGTTGTGTTAGAATATACCATGCTATGCTAGTTGTGTATATTGTGTTTACATCCCTAGTTTGGTGTACACCTGTGTTGGGGTGTCAATCCAACCCAATTGTGGTTGGAGCCCCCAAACACAAGGACCACAATTGTGGGGGAACCACAAATGGGTTGGCTAAACCACTGGTGGTACACCACACTTGGACCACCTCCAACTGGTGGTCCACCATATTTGGAAGGATCCTCCCTCCCTTGTGATTGGTCCTAACCCCCCTTTCCCTTCCAACCTTCCCTTCCTAGCTCATCCCTCTCTTCCTATGTAATGCCTTTGCTTCATCAATAAACTGAACCTTTCTGTTTCTGACAGGAAGTCCTCATCGAATTTGACTTCCATTTCAGTCTCTTCGTTTGTCACTCCTCCAAGCCATTCTACATCCTTGTCTACGTCGCCGATTTCATTCTACTCGCCATAGATCCAGCCGAGATGGCAGCTGTCCAGTCTACTCTCAGCTCCGCCCTTCTCATGAAGGATCTTGGTAACCTTAAGAACTACCTGGGGATGGAGATCTCTCGTGACCGCCACGCTTGCACGATCACCCTCTCCCAGGAGTCCTACATCGACAACCTTCTCAATCGGTTCGACATGGACTGTCTCGACTCCACTCCCACTACAGCATCAGCTCATGGCCCCTCCGATTCCTTCTCCTGACACCTGCAAGGACGCGTACCCTGAGCTAGTTGGTTCACTCATGTATGCCATGATGTGCACTCGACCAGACTTGGCTTACCCGGTTAGTGTCCTCTCTCGGTACATCTCCCCCGGACGCTACACTGCCTCGCATTGGTCTGCATCCAAGAGGGTCCTCCGCTATCCCAAGCCACCAGGTCCCACATCCTCACTCTCAGTCAAGCTCGAGGGGTACACAGACTCCTCATGGGCCGATAACCAGACTGACAGACGCTCCTCCCAAGGGTACTGCTTCACTCTTGGTAGCGAAGTCATCAGCTGGCGTTCCAGTCGGTCCTCTGCAGTCTCCCTGTCGTCCTGTGAGGCCGAGCTCTACAGAGGCACAATGGCTGCTCAAGAGGCACGCTGGCTCCCCTTTCTCTTCGCCGAGTTAGGCTACCCCCAGCAGTCACCCACCCTTGTTATAAATAGACTACAAATCCCATCTTTGTATTTGTATTTATATATCCTAATTTAGGTTATGGAAGTTCTAGTGGGTTGGGGTGTACTCATAAAATCCCAACCTTACCCAATTGTGATCCCCCCAATCTCCAATTACATAATTGGAGATTCCGGGGATCCCAATGGGGATTCCCTCCCGATTCCCCCCTTCATCCATTCTCTCTCATCTTGCCATATACTTATAGAGCCTTGGGCTCTTTACCTAACCAATCATTTCAACTCTATTTTTTATATGGTATCAGAGCGACCTATCCGCACACCCGGATCAAGGTCCTAATCTTAATCTGTCTGTGCCACGCGCACTTGATCGTTGCGACATTCGTCTCGAGTCGTCAGAATTTCGACGTGCTCCACTCTGCAGTCGCGCCTCTCATCGTCGACCGCCTTCGCACTCGACCTCGTTGAATTTCTCATCTCTGAAGCTTTCACGCTTCTCATCGTCGATTTCCTCCTCGGTTCTCCTTGGTCGAATCTCAATTTCGACCATCTCTTAGAGCTCGTTCTCAAGTTGCCCCTTTGACCCCGCCTAAATAGGCGAACTCCCCTCGTGGAAACGCCTCTTCGAACGTTTCGCGTAAAAAAAGAGCAGGTACACAGGTGGAAACGGAGCGGAGCTGGTTGCGGAGCTGGTTGCGGAGCTGGTTGCGGAGCTGGTTGCGGAGCTGAATAGCTGCGGGACAGGGCCTAGGGGTTTTGTGGGGGGGTGTGTGGGTCCGGGGCTAGACATAGTCTCAGATTCAGTTTCAAGTCGGCGTTTTAACGATTTTTCGTTGACGCCATTTCCTTCTTAGCGGCATTTCGATGAAGCCGTCAGAGTGATTTTCAGCAATTCTCGTCAACCGATTTCCAGAAGTGCCGCGCTGCGCACCGAAGTTCATATCGGTGAGTTAAGAGCATCGCATCGCGAAAATCAAGTGGCAGTGGCTTACTCAACGACGTCACTCGCCAACCCGATCCCACTCCTTTGTCTCGACCGGACGGTACATGCTCCAACTACAAGGCTTGATGCTATGGTGTCGACAAGCACCTCCTCAGTCGCGAGGTGAAGGGGCTCGAGCTCACCGACGTCCTTCTCAACATCGGTGACGGCTAAGAGCCTCCTAAATCCGAGAGGTCCGCCAATCCAGCTAATGCCGCCGCCAAAGCATTTTATACTGCTGCACTGCTCAAGTACAAGAATTGGGAGAAGGCCAATGGTGCGGTCATAAGTGTCTTCATGGGCACCAATCCTCCCGAACTCGTCGAAACCTACCACAACTTCTCGTCTGCCAACGCCATTTGGCTCTACCTCGAAGACCGCTTCCTGAACAAGACTGCAGTGGGAGTTGCTATACTTATCCCCAGCATGTTCCAAGTGTGGCTCGAGGACCAGGCATGGCAGACTATGTCACCAAGGTGCAGTCCATTCATGGTGAACTCAAACAGTTGGAGATAGTCTTCCGCGAGCAAGCCCCTGCAGCCGCTCTCCTAGTCGGCCTCACTCCGGCATACGAAGTCACACACAAGATGCTCTTGGGCCTTGTTCCTGCGGACCTCGCTCACTCCAAGGTCTCATCCGCGCTCCTTTCTGCTGAAAAGGACAACAGCGCTCAAGCCAAGGCCAATGCAATCTGCGCTCCCGTGCCTCATGCCTGTGCCGCTTCGGCACCATACCAGCGCAACCGCGTCCCCCCGTGTCCCTACGTCATCAAGCGCGGCCCTCGTGTTGGCCATGTGTGTGGCGGCACCAACCACGCCCTTGCCTATTGCTTAAAGAGGAAGGATGACGAGTGGTATGTCGTCAATGGGACCGCCTTGAAGCCGCCAAGCTGGATCTTCAATCACGCTCCTCGCAAGGTCAATGAGGTCGAAGCGCAGGAATCCGTGCAGGCTGCTGTAGCTGCACCTGCTGATGTGCGCCTCAACATGTTGTTCTCTGGCACTGCCATGATTAATAAGACAATTTCGCAGTATCCCGGCTCACAAAGCACCTCAGCCACAATAGAGTTCACCCTCGACAGTGGGGCCACTTACACGGTTCTCAAGGAAGAACACTCCTTCAAGCCATATGAGACACCAATCCGTCTACTAGGAGCAGACTCCAGTTTCACAACACACGCCAAGGGCTCCTCCACAGTTCCGTGCCCAGCCTTTCCTTCGAGCAGTGTCACGGGCATGTGTGTTCCCACACTACGCCACAATCTCGTGGCCCAATACGAGCTCCAACAGGCAGGCGTTACATGATCTTCCCAGCATACTCGGATCACTGTGGCCTCCTCGACCCGAAGTCCAACAAGCTCCTAGCATGCTTCACACTCAACAGCAGCAAGCTCTACACGCTGCGTTCACCTGCACCTTTCGACGCCCTCTCCCAAGCGCAAGCTGCCAGCACCACTCCATGTTCCTGTCGCAGCTTCGCCAACCCAACCATCCTCTACCACTATCGCTTGGGTCACCTCAACTTCCGTACACTTGCCGACCTCGCTTCCAAGAAACTTCTTCTTGGCCTCCCGTCGGCGCTTCCTCCACCAACAGACTCACCTGCACCCACCTGCCTGGACTGCACCAAGAGCAAGCTCAGGCAGCAGCCGCACCCTTCCTCCCCATCCGTCGCAGCTGCT